GTAGCTGCCCCTAAGGCACCGAACAGCTTCCCGCTTGGTGTGAATCCGGCAAGAGGTCCCGAGACAGGGCACAACTCTGGAGGTTGATTGAAAAAGCTTATCCCGCATGCGAAACACGGAAGGAATAGGCGGCTCTGTATGTGCGGGCAGAGAGATTCGTGTAAACCGTGGAAATAAATGAACAGGACAACTCCCGCTCTACTGGATCGGGAGTCTGAAGGGGACGCGTCGAGCTTTTGCCCGAACGAGGAACAGACGACCATGGAGAAACACAATAATGGGGATGATGGGGATGAACTCAATGCGTCTCTGCATCCGCGTTCTTCCCTCCTGGGATCCTCGCCTCGATAGCGGCGCTTTCCGCTCGAGAATGAGGTCGCACGAGGAATAGGCAAAAGCTCTCCGCAGTTGTTCCAGTCCCGGTGCGCTCGGGACATCGGAATACGGCACAAAGAATGTTCGTCGCTAAGGAGTCTCATAACCTCAGAATATTCGACATCAGAGGCATTCTTCGCCAGCCCGCTCGGAAACAACCTCTGGCTCGAGAGATTGGAATCCGTGGAAGAGAAAATTGAGCCTCCTCGGAGCTTTCGGCTAAAGCTACTGCGGAACATGGAAACGACGTAGTAAGCATACGCCTCCGAGGAATAGGACTCCAACTCCAGTGGCTGAGCAAGTCTATTCAGCAGTACGAGCAAATGTTTCTCCTTTTCATCTGAATCCCTCCTCGATCGGATACATATTCAGAGCCTTCCCAGCGAGAGCATGAACGAGGCCTATACCGTCTCGGAACCTGCTATTTCCACGGAGAATGACTTATTCGGGAGAGGGAGATTCCATCTGGGAAAACGGTCCCTCGATCATTTTATTCGCCCCCTCACACACGCTGCCTAGAAACCCAAAAACCGAGACAGGAAAGGGTGGTCCGAAACTTGCAAGGATTTAACAATTCATGGGTCGCCCCTAGTGATTTTGATTGCCTGTGCATTAAAGAGTACGGTAGGGGAATTTTATAAGCTAACAAGCGACAATCGCGACTCTCTCTCTTTCCTCAGAGAACCTTGATCTCCACATTTCGTAACGCGTGCCTCCTCGGATCTCGGATGTTATGAAAAAAAGGCTCCAAGTCGGGGTTCCAGAGGAATTCTGTGCCGGATATCGTCGAAGGTCGAAACGCTGATGTTCTGTAGGGAGCAGACCCGAGAGTTTCCGTAACGACCAATATCCCCTGTGGAGGGAGTTCCGCATGGGATAATTCAACAAGTTCGGAATGAGGGATTCGCTTTCAGCGGAATTAGGCGCGACAGAATATTTGATTTCAGTCTCCGAGCCCAAGACCGGCGCGGGATGACGGACGACGAGTAACGGGGTTCCGACCGAGCTTCTTATTTTCTCCTTTATCTCTATATTCGTCTCTCGCAGGTATCTTAGAGCTCGGGGATGGCTGGCCACATCGGAGATAATCTTGATAATAATTTTCTAAAATTATTCATTTCTGAAATTATTGAAATTAAGAAATCGGTCCACGAGGACTCCCATCCGACCGTCTGGAAGTCGATCAGACCCAACGGGAGCTTCCGGCCAGAGTTTCGCAAGATTGCAAATCGCGTCCGCGATCCTTTTATGCCGTGCGACTTCCTCATCACGTCTCGTGGGTACGGAATAGCCAGCTGTGAAGGTTGCGCCATTTGAAGGCGCAAGTCCACCGCACGATCAGCTCAAGTTGCCCACTCGACCGTGAATTTTTCATGCGCGAGGAATAATGAATCTCTCCGTACCTCCGTGCTTCGGTTTGTTTGTTTGTTATCTGTTGCTGCTGCCGCCGCCGCAGCCGTCGCCGCCGCTGCTGCTGCTACCATGGACTAAGAGTGAAGGGGCTTCCTTCGTTTGTCCCTCCATATGTTAGCAGACGGTCTTCGTGCGTCACATCCTGCTGCGCGCGCAGCTTCGAGTGGAGGGGACCAGTCAGTCCGTCAGTCCGAGGGCCTTACTCCTCCTGAGTGGAGTGCCTGCCTGCCTGCCTGCCTCCGCCACACCGAACAACGAAGAGTAGTCGCAGTACGAGGACGCAGATAGCCTTCTGGACGTCGCTAACTTCTTTCATGTTAAGCACAATGCTTGCCTCCAGGGCTCTTGCCCTGGTGGTCCTTGTCGCGGCTTGGCAGATCGAAGTAGAAGGCTTTCCGAGGAATGAAGTTTTCACCAATTCATTTCTGGTCCGCTTCCGACGCGACATGACTCTCAAGGAGGCGTCCGGCGTTGCCAACCTTCACGGTTTCATCAATCTGGGCAAGGTAAGTCGATGTCACGCTCTTGTCACGTAAGATTCGGGGAGAATTTCGGCCCCTTCTCGATTTCGGCTTATGGTGGCCATCTTGAACATCGGTGGTCGGCGGCGATGATATTTACGCTGTTGCGCTCGTCGCCGACGGGGCACGTTTGTGGGTGGGGGCTCCCGATGAGCTCTCCGGTTGATGTTCGACGAGCATGCGTCGAGGTTCTCGTCCCTCCGATCGAACCCACGTCGTTGGACGCGTTGGAGACGTGCGCCGGATGTTGAAATGCCGTTCTCCATAGGACCGCTCATCGACAGGATTAGACGCAACGTGCACCATATGGGCTTCGAGCCGATTTCAGCGTATGCGACCAGCTTTCGCTCACAACTCTAGAAGATCGTTTACTTGCTCGAACATATGGACGAGCTCGCGACCCTGGAGCAGAGTCGATCTGGCGGAGCAGGAACGGAGATTATACTCCGTGGGTCGTCGGTGCGACTCGGTCATTCGAGACCTGTCGATTCCAGACAGTGGCGTTCGTCCAAGTCGACAAATCCACGCGTCCCAACGTGAACGTGTGGGATGATAAGTGGGAGATCTGATGCATATCGCAGCCGGTTATCCATTGTTTCCACTGGATAGATCGGGATGAGACGGAGAAACAGCGCCGTCCATCTGGGGCACTAACATTGGCATGGCTCGGCCGTTTCATGCCGAGACTTGGCCGTCAGGACGTTTTGTCGAAAAAAATCTGAGCTGTAAAGCTCTGCGTTTGCCGAAAACGCTCTTGAAGATGCCGCTGTACTTGAATGGCCTGGGGGGATTTGAACCGCCTGTGCAGTTCGGGAGATAACGCTCGGTCAGAACTGAGGGGAGCCCATTGTGAATAGTGGCGGAGCGAGCTCTGGGAGGATGGAGCTGCGACGTCGAGTGAAGAGAGATATCAATCGCTCCGGAATTCCCGCGAAGTTCTCGGGGGAGATGAAGTTTTCGGATACCATTCCCCGTATGCCGACCGTGTCGACCAAGCCGAGAGTTCCTAACGTCAGCAACAGTCTCGTCCAGCCCAACTATCCGTCCTTAGACCGCAAACTCAGCTACGGGAAGCTTTGTCGTTCATTACTCGTCGGCCCGTAACATATGGAAGCTAAAAATATGGCTTCTGTTGAGGAACGGATGAGTCTAGGTTAATTGAATCAAAAACACTCAAGTTTCTCCCTCCGACGTGCTCCTACTGCAGATGCGGGCAGACACTACGCTCGCTGTCTGAGGGTCGCCGATCTGAACGGACGCTGATTTTGGCGTCTACCAAGAATTAATGGATTTCCGCCTTGTGTCATGGTGGTGCCGTTCACGCCGGTCCGACACCGTTCTGGCATGGGCGGCTTCGCGCCTCCGGTCGACCGTTCCCATGTCACTCTCAGCGGACGCAAAATTTTACTATGCGGAACAGAATTCATCGAGCCCGTATCGAGCTGCGGGAACCCGATGCGCGACCTTTCTCGCGCTCTGGATGGGGGCAAGGTACCGCACGGCGTAGGCACTGACCGATGCCCACGCGGTCACGCTTTTTTTCCTTCCGTCGCGCCAATCGACGCTCGGTTGAGCTAAACAGCTCTTTGAGCTCCGAGCGAAGAACAGCCGTCGGGACCAGACTGCAATAATCGGACATCGGATCTGACAGAGTTCTTCAACCGTTCCCGATGGCTAGCAGCATCGCATGGGATTAGGCGATTTTCGGAGAGTGGAGACACCGAATTGAGACATGAGCAGGTCGTGTACGGCGCGGCGGTGACCATCGAGCTGAGGCAGCTCGTGCATCGACGTCTTGCGATGGGATCCGCTCCAGGACACGTTCGCAGACGCCGCGGCCTCGAAATTCTGTCGACGACTAACATCCACTCATTACGTGCCAGCCATCGGGAACAGATGAAATTGCTTCAATTAGAGGTCGCGTTGTCGTCGAGTTCGTAGGGGCCTCGCGAGCAAGAGCGTCTGGTGCTTGGGACTTCTATCGGGCTGAGAAGAGTTCTTTCGGGAATCGCCGAGACGGTTCGAAACTCCGTGCCGAGATGGAATCCTCTGAACTCGATGCACTCTGCCTGATCTGCCGCGAAGATTTCCCCGAGGAACTCCACCCCAATTTTCCGGCTAGAATTTCTTTCCATGTTTGTTGAAACGAAGCGCTCATCGGCTTCCCGAGTGGGTGTCATCGACGGCTAGAGCTTCCTGAGAAGAACGCTCTCCGCTCGTATCTCCGATGCGACTTCTCAATCTCGGATGCCCGGGGGAAGCGTTCGCATCGATTCGCCACCGGAACAAGACCCGGCGCGCGACGTCACGGAGAGTCTGTCACGCAGTGAGTGCGTTGGAGACAATCCGAGCACCTTCAAGCAACAGAGCCAAAGCTGCATTCCCGGATTGGGTCTATGCGCAGCGAAAAATCCCCTTTCCCGTTTATATCCGCGAGCTTGATAACGAGGTACCGCGGTATGAGGAAAGTTGGCCTCGATTCTCTTACACGCAAAGCTCGGCGCGACTTCAAGCGAGAACGGACACCCTGCGGACCAACGTCATGTCGCCCCGAGGAACAGAGGGTCTATCGTCACTGTGGGGTGTTCGACGACCACTTGATTCCTCCCGGCTGGCGGTCTTACATGCATGCAAACCAACCAACCTCTGGGCTATGCAGCGGCAATCTCAGCGGCTTTCTCTATCCGGGAAGTTGAGGACATCCGAGTGATTCTCAACCATACTGGCCCTAGTTCGCGCGTTTGTTTCTATCGCTGTCGCCCCGAACAGCACCGCCAGAATGATCTCCGTCTGCTTCCACTTGGAGCACGAAGACAGTCGGACTCACAAGAAATAACTCAGCCAGAAACGAACAAACAGTACTCCGTCGATTGCTCCCTGTCATCGTTTCCCGCCCTCGGAATCGATGACATCCCAGCTCGAGAGAAGAACCGTTTGTCTGCTGATATGAGATGCATACACCGATTCGCTCAGAGGGCGAAATGCACGTCACCTCCGTCCCGGTCACGGGAATGGCTCATCCTCAACCACCGCGACTCGAGGAAATGCGGAGTGTCGGTGTGGCGGTTTCAAAACGAAAGTTTCGGCTACCGGGTGAGCTGGCTTGCCGTAGACCCGGAGATAAATATAATTTCCATTTCGAAATATGCGTGCTCGTTCGCCGTAACGATCTATTTCCCGTGGATCGATGGCCTCCGACAGAGCTTCTCGCCTCCAAAATTAAATTCCGAATTGAATTCAGAAAGTTTCGCTCGATGCGCGGAGCTCCGATCCGGATTCGGCGCGCGGCTTCTTTCCTCCGAATGGAATTCCTCGGAATGATCTTCTCCTGATTCACAGACCACGGGAGCCGGATGATTGCGATGCACTGCCGTTCATACGATGCGGGAATCAGGGGGAATTCTGGCCGTCGGGCCCGAGCATCGGATCGGCGGATATGAAAGCATTCAGGGAGAAAATCGTTTGTGAGTCGCGATCCGAATGACAGAATCGAGTGTTCGTTCTGCGACGAGCGATTGCGCTCGGAGAGAGTAGTCCGCCATGCTCGTTGTTGCTATGTGCCCGCACTCTAATAAGATCATCATCGAAGACGGTCCTCGGTCCGCATTCCGTGCAGGCGTAATAAGAAGACTGTCCGTAAAACCAATTAAGCTCATTTCTTTGTCTGTTCGGCCCTGATGGAAATCTGCACAGAGACTCCGCCGACCGTTATCTTACCGACACTCTCCCCAAATCATTACCGAAGAGGCTGACGGCAGCGAATCGGTGGGACTTTTGGGAATATATCCACGACAAGCCTCACGTGGCAGGACACGAGATCTGAATTCACCGTGTTCTGGAGCCTCAAATAGATTTTCGCGTTTTCCGTGTCGTTCGCGAATTACACACCCAAAACCTCGACGATCGCAGCGAGAGAGCCTCGATGTAGGACAGATCCCTCGCCTGGAGCATCCCCGTTCGGAGCAGACTTGGAGGCTTTCCTGGCGGGATGGCGGATACGGGCCCAGAAAAGCGAGCTATCGATCGGTTGATACCTTTGAAAGTATCTTGAACTCAGAGGTTCTCGAATCCACGGCGAACGAGTATTGACAGCTCTGAAGGTCTACAAAAGGAACGCATTCGGTCTCAAGCGCGTGGAAAGACTGTTCATTTTCCAGTGGTGCTCCTCGGCTGCGAGGTGTACTTTTTAGGTACGAGGAGACGGGGAAAACTCGACAAGGAAGCCGTGTCGTGAATAGTGTTCTCGGACCGAGTCATCGGCGAGCATTCGTGGTTCGTGTGTATCTACATGAAAGCGGCTTGTGTAGAAACTCGGCGAGCGTTGGAGAGGGAGCATCTCAGGACGTCATTGCCGAAAGGGTTGATCAGATGTCGTCTTTCCTCCCAATCAAACGGATCGAGTCGGAGGGTCAATAGAAGGCTCGAATCACGCCGGTTGGGGACCGTGGGCTTCTGCTCAATTGATTGCTACGTCGGCGTAGCTTTCGAGCTCGATTTCAGGAACATCGAGATCTCGAGTGCGCAGACTCGAATGCAATATTGGATATTATGCCACAAGGACGCTTGGAGTCCGAAAAGCGGATCGACGATGAAAAATCCGATAGAACGCCTCAGAGATCCGCTCTGAACGGCTGCCAATAGAAAACAGGTTGTCTTAGCGAATTATGAGCGTGGTGCTTCGGAAGAGAATGCGAGAAAACACGCCCTCTGCGTCGACGCTTATCCCCATGGACTCGGATAGATGATGTGAACCGAATCTCTTCCACCTTTCAGCTGCTGGGGTCAAACCGAGAATTTCATTTTCTCCATCGCTCAGTGCCACACGCGAGGACACGGCGCAGTCTGAGCCACATGCGCACTTTGAAGTCACATCCAGACGTAAGTAAACTCATAATTCTCACCCCTACGGAGTCCCGGAGCTCACAATGGAAACTCAGAGGGTCGAAACGACCTTCAAGCCCCGGAAATCCCGCATCTCGAGCTCATAACTGACTGAGGCTTCTGAAAGTCCGTTGTCTTCAACGAGTTCGGAGGTCCACTCGTTCAACCTGGGGACGCCGGAGGACCGACTTCCGGACGCCTCATGGGAACAGACTCGGACCGCGCACCTGCGGGGAATTTTCGCGGCGGAATCTATCGAATCGACGCGTATGGGAGCCATTGCACAAAGAGGTGATAACCTTCGGAGCTACTGCGTCAAACGGCAGCGACCCATTGGAAAGTGAAATTACACCCTTCCAGCCCCCATCATCTCCGGGAGAGCCCCAACGTGCGAATACATTCATTGTTTGGATTTATCCAGCCACTCCCCCCAAAGTTCGTTGTTCAACGAGCTGGAATTGAGTTCCCGATCCCTTGAATTACTCGCGAAAGTTGGAGATCCACAAGACAAAGCGGAATGGGAAACAAAGCAAGGATTCTAGCGGAGATCTCCGCGATAGGCTCCTAGTCTGGAACTCGTCTCTCCCGCCCGAGTTCCAAGGCTGGCAGCCGGAACCGGCGGGAGGGAATAATTGATCGGCTTCCGGACGATCTCAATCATTTGCAGCTCGAATTCCCCTCGCTGGGGTGTCTTGTGAAATTTCGTGTGACTTGCCGAATCGATCGAGCACATGGAAGTGGGCGTCCTAAGGCACGTGGAACACGAATGAGCTCCACGACTGGTATTTCAACCCGTGCTCTGCTATTAATATTGCGCGTTTGTTGAGTCAGCTCCGACTGATGGTGCACTCGGAGTGTTTGCTTCCCGTCTGACGAGCTCTCGCTCGAGACTACATGCCTGACGCCGTCCTTCCGCCCACTTCGAGTGCTCCCATCTCTGACGTCTCCGGAATCGCTCCTTTACCTCCCGCTCAGCGCAGTCCAACCGTAAAACATCTTGCTTGAGCACCACAAGTCGATTCCCTTTAGGGATTCCATCACTCACTGCGTCCGATCCCTCCCTTCCCTTGACAAGCACGCGGTCGGTCTCCGAGGAGTGGGGGCTGAAACTGAGCCCTTTCAGTCAGTTCTGGAAGCAGTTCTATGCGTCAAGGAGCAAATCCCCTGAATTTCTTGCGCTCATCTCGGATTCTAAATTTAGACTCGCCATGCCAGACCGCTCCAGATCCAATCTCTCGAATTCGAGTCCCTCTCGGGCCACCATGCTGAATCTGCACGCAAATGAGCTTTTTGTTTCGCGGAAAATGCTGCGAGAACAGAAGCGTTTGCTCCAAAACGCTTCGATGAGAGCAGCTGTCCGTGCTCTCGGTAGTCTTTCTCCTACCCGGCTTGTTCTGGCTCGGGTGAATCAGATCCGCGTGGAGGACGCGTGAGAGTTTTTGGGGTAATCAAGGCGTCAGCAGACGCGCGCAGACCAGGGAACCAGGGTCTCGAGTCCTTTCCTGCCAGAAATTCATCATTGAGGCCCTGCCACTCACCACGGAGTCGTCTCCATGAATCACGTTCTATATGCAAAGATTTTCCATCGCTTTCGAGTGAAGGAGTCCACTTCTGTTCTTGACGGATACTCCTGATCGCGCACGTCTCTCGTTGGAGGGCTCGGCACGCTCGTTCGGCATGCATGTCGGAACACTCGATCTTCTCTCTAAAAACTTTCTCATCGAGTCCAATCCTGGGGATGGACGATCGAGGCTAGAATGGAGCTCTGGCGCGGTATTCCCCACATTCAGTGCTCAGGAAAGAGAGGAGCGAATCATGAAGTTTTATCTGACTCGAGAAGCGTTTTATCATCAGGTGAGGTTCGCAATACAACAGACGGGCTTCCAACGAACCAAGAGGGGTTACAACCGACTGCGGCTCGCCGTTCTCGAAGAGATTCAGCAACAGCACCAGAACGAGCCGACGGATCCGTATTTCCCCTTCCAGTGGTATCTTGTGAGTGTCTCGCGGAGCGGATAAGACTTACGTGTCTGGCACAACTATTGCCGGAGGCGTATATTCGGCACTGAACTTTCGAAAGTTGAATGTTCGACGGGGATGCTATGAATAACACCGTAATTTCTTTCTAGAAAAACATAGGGCAAAACGGAGGCAAGCCACGTCTCGACTTGAATGTTGAAGCTGCATGGGCTCAAGGCTTCACTGGGAGAAATGTGACCACGGCCATCATGGATGATGGGGTCGACTATATGCATCCCGACCTGCGGGACAATTACGTGAGTATCAGGAAGAAAAAATTTCCGGGCTTCGACTCTGAGTCCTAGTTGGTCAGCTTTCTCGTATCAGACCACTCGAAAGAGTTAGGATCCGCTACAGGACTTCTTGGTCGATTCGAGACTGGACTTCCCGACAATCACCTAAACTGTCGTTCCCTCGATTGCAGAACGCTCGAGCATCGTACGATTTCTCTGGGAACGATCCGTTCCCATATCCCCGGTACACAGACGATTGGTTCAATTCACACGGGACCCGTTGCGCCGGTGAGGTGGCCGCCAAACGAGACAATGGCGTTTGCGGTGTTGGCGTCGCCTACAACTCGAAGGTTAGATCTCTGTTCTAGACTTCCGAGAGTCTTCCGACCGAAAGCTTCAGCTCCTCCCAACCGGAGATGACATCTCGTTATTACATCCCTGCGGTGTTCCTCACGGTGACGGGAATCGTCTTCCGCAGGTTGCGGGGATCCGAATGCTCGATCAACCCTACATGACCGATTTGATCGAAGCTAACTCGATGGGACACGAGCCCAACCTCATCGATATCTACTCGGCGTCCTGGGGTCCAACAGATGACGGCAAAACTGTCGACGGTCCTCGAAATGCTACGATGAGAGCCATTGTCCGCGGAGTGAACGAGGTGAGTCCCGGATGTGAATCTTCCTCCGCGGCTAATCATTGGGCCCTCTCTTATCGGCTCAAGGCCGAGTGACTTATCGGAATCCCAGCAGGAGTCCGCTGGCGGGGTTTGCGTGGGCGACCGTGTGACCAAGATACCTCGGTCAGATGTATCGCGATCTCGGGATCTTGTCACAGCGAAGTGCTACAGGGGTTGTTCGGGGGTTCTCGTACGACGCCGACGCTTGCCTCGCACTCACTCAGCAAATCCCCGACACGGAAAATCCTGTTCTCGAAAGGCTTCTTCTAATCTGCGTGATTGTTAGGGATCAGACGGGGCACGAATTCAACGCGCGTTATTTCGACAGAGCACCTGAGGATTTTAAGACCTTCAATGAGTTTTCCAAGCGGATCAGACAGACGAGACTTCGCGCTCCGATACTCAAATTAGCGAATAAAGTTCACACCGAGCCCGCCCATGCATGTCAAACTTCACGCAGATGAATAAGGCGATGAAGGTCCCTATACTACAGAAGCAGCTTCGAATAATCGTATTCTAGAGGATTGAGTCTGCGTCTGATTCCAGGGTCGCCATGGACTTGGAAACATTTACGTGTGGGCCTCTGGAGATGGAGGTGAGGAGGATGACTGTAACTGCGACGGCTACGCGGCCTCCATGTGGACAGTTAGCATAAACTCCGCGATCAACAACGGCGAAAACGCTCACTACGATGAGAGCTGCTCGTCCACCCTCGCCTCAACGTTTTCAAACGGCGCGAAAGACCCTCACACCGGAGTCGTAAGTTCCACGGAGCTTTCGAATAGGCATATGAGCTGGATATACGAGCGTAAGACCCCCGCCCTGAATTCTAGTCGGCCCGATTTAGTACATTCCGGAAGGCTGCTTAGATTTGATCTCCGCTTACTCGTTTCCAGGCCACCACCGACCTGTACGGTAAATGTACAAAAACTCACTCCGGAACATCGGCAGCCGCTCCGGAGGCCGCCGGTGTTTTCGCATTGGCGCTCGAAGCGAAGTGAGTATGAGCTGCCGAACGGGCGATCCCAGTACGGCAGATTAGATCAACGATATCCTCGAATCTCGGAATTTACTGAATCCTTGAATCTGAATTTCCAGTCCCCAGCTCTCTTGGAGGGACATCCAGCATTTGACTGTCCTGACGTCGAAAAGGAACTCCCTGTACGATGCCAAAAATCGCTTCCATTGGAAAATGAACGGCGTTGGACTGGAATTCAATCATTTGTTTGGATACGGTGTGATGGATGCCGGAGCGATGGTTGCTCTAGCCAAGGAATGGAAAACTGTGCCTCCTCGATACCATTGCGAAGCCGGTTTGATCCGTTCACCTAAGTAAGGAAGACTTGGGTTATTGAGAGTTCCTTAACCCCAGGATATCAGTCTCATCGGTCCACAACCGAGAAAGCACAATCGATAACGATAACTTCTCTCCCCAGGAAATTCACCACCAACCAGTCTGTGATTCTAGAAATTGAAACTACGGCCTGTCAAGGCAAAGAGACCGAGGTGAATTACGTTGAACACGTTCAAGCTGTTCTCAGCCTCAATTCGACTCGTCGCGGAGAGGTGACTCTCTACCTCATTTCGCCATCTGGGACCAGGTGAGTTTCTGAGTCAGAGCCTTGATTGACAATACGGGATAGTGGAGATTAGCGAATCGACTGGGAATTCAAAGTGCTGTCGCGCTGCCAGTGAAAGTTATTCAAGCTTCCTCAATTGCTCACCAGATCCATGATTCTGAGTCGTCGACCCAACGACGATGATCATCGAGATGGCTTTTCGAAATGGCCGTTCATGACTACTCACACTTGGGGCGAAGACCCCAAAGGAAAGTGGCGCCTCGAAGCTTACATTTCTCAAGAAACCCAACAACCGAATCATGGCTGGATACTCGACTGGACTCTCATGATCCACGGAACCAAAGAAGCTCCCTATAAAGATCTGCCAATCCAGGACGAGAACAGCAAACTGGCCATCGTCAAGAAGGCGCATGAAGATTATATGAAGAAGAAGCATTGAACATTCGGACCAAATCTCAAAGCGGTGGGAACCGAGGATTCCCGGAATCGAAAATTCATCCTATTCGATCAGCTCCTCCCTGATCAGTCTGACGCCGGAGTCTAAACTTCGAAGAAATTCTCCTAATCACATGATCTGAAAGCCGTCTGGTGTGCGTCTTTCAATCCAGACAGACGAATCATGATATTCCAAGAGTTAATCGACAAGAATCGGAAGTCGAATTTCCAAATTTTCAAATCCAAAACTTTAGCAAACAAAACTCGAGGGTCTGAGTCGACCTCCGACATACATCAGGGTACATAGTAGGGGTCGTACAATGTTCAGGGAACAAATGATTCGACGATCGTAGTGAATCCACTCATGCTTCCCTGAAAGAGAGAATAAGCGCCATTCGACCACTGAACCTCATTTGGATGAGCTCCCCTTCAACATTACTCGGACATCGCAGCTTCGAGCTCGTCCAAGAAGAGAGGAAACGCAATCAGCTTGCGCTCGAATCTCGTCAAAAACGAAATTAGATAATTATGGGATTCAGCGAGGTCGTAGCGTATCGATGTTTTTTTGTTGATGTTTCAAGTTCTAGCCACCTGTTACGTTACGTTGATAACGACAATGTTGACGACCACGACGACGATCTCAAGAGCATCGTCAAGGATGCCGGAGATGATCGTGATGTCTATTTTTCTTAGATGAGAGAAGGCTCGCCTTCGCTCCGCATTGAGATGAGAGATCTCAGGCTCAAACCGCGAGGAAAAAAAACGAATTCAGTTCAACGACATCTCCATTAGACAGGAATTCATCCTTGTCGTGAGGGTAGCCGTTCCATCGTTTGAGCCCCCCGCCCAACCCTCAAGCCTCCCTTCCCACCATCACAAAGCATATCCTGAATCTTCAATGACACGCTGCGAGAGAGAAGCGAAGACTTGTGGATGCGAATCGGTGTCGCAAGACGCCATCAGCTCACCACTCAAACAATCAATGAGTCGAGCAAGTGATTGGGGCAGTCAGTCAGTCAGTGAGTCTCATCACCCCTGAGACTTCCGACGGAGCTTCTTCGGCATCGGTTCCCCTTGACAAGTCGGTTGTGCCTCAGACATGTCTGTTTAGACCTGCGAACCCCGCCCGGAACAACAACGCCTAGCAATTATCGGAAGTACCAGAGCGAACAACTCGAGGAACAGACGAACATTGGAGACATATACTGGACTGGCTCTATCTGCTTGCATGTCCTGCTTCGGAGGTTCGCCGATAGAACCTCATCGGCTTGCGGTCACAATCAGACTCACACCACGCTTCCGGATAATTGGCTGGGAGGAGTGGCCCAGCCGTATGCCGATGCCTGTCTGATTCTGACGATACCGTGGAACGCAGTAGGTAGCTCATAAATCGACGATAAAACAAGAACACCTTTGATTTTATTTCATTCACCCGCATCGTGATTATTAGTATTATAATTGTTGTACCAACCGATTTTACTTTGGCTACCGTCTGGCCTCACCACGCAACGTTCGACATCAAGAGCAGCCGTCGTAAAGGGAAAAATCTGTCTACTTACCTATCCTTATGAACCAGAGCTGTTGAAAAGGTTGAAATAACTGACGACTGATTTATTTTGAATTCCGAAGAAACCAATAAAAATCTATTTATCACCCTATTCTCCGCTTCGCCGTGCCTGAAGGTAGATACTCGGATGAATCGAGCGCAGTACGCGCGGAAAACTCTCGACGGCGTCGGAAGGGGTCGACGCCAGCTTGTCCGTGTTCTCAGATTCTAACAATTCTCTTGCCTCGATCGATCCTCAATGATCGTTCTCCCACCCTGTGTGTGGCGAGCTTCAGTCGTGCCGGATCGGGATTCCAGTATCCCTCGAACCAGACATCGACGTGATGGTCAAAACTCACCAGGAGCTTTCCGCGTGCAATCCCGAATTCTCGAGGAAGAACTTCTCATCAAAATAGACCGCTTTCACTAGATTGAGAAGCAATCAGAGAATGTCGCTCTTTCCACGGGTGTACTTGTAGCCCTGACGAACATTCGCCGGCTCTGGATAATCCCAGCTAGAATTCGTTCTCGTGGTTTCCCGTTGCCCGAGAGGTTCGATGGCCCCTGGACTTTGGATCGACGCCGACGCGACGGAAAGAATAAAATTCCTAGGGATGATCTCCACGGCAAATCCCGACGAGCCTGGCTGGCGAGGCCGGAGAATATGGACAGGCATTATTTATATTGCTTATTGTGGTCCATCAAACTTCTCTATCGCATGATGCTCCGTGAGACCGAGGACTGCAGCCTGTAGATCAGGTCTCATTTAGCCGACCTCCATGCGGAGCGAAAACGCGCGGGGTCGACACGGAAAGCCGTGCGTTCGAGTATAGCTAAAGTTTCCCTGATTTGATACTCAGGCCCTCGTTGTGAGGGCCCAAGAGTGATACGATAGTGGCTCATACCTCATACAATACGCTCGTAGTATACCCGTGATTTCCGCATCGCGGACAGAACTCATGTTATCGGTCGCCTACGAAGCTACTGCGCATTTATTTATCGGAGGCTCTCGAGAGAGGTAATCATACAGATTCACACGCAAAGCTCGGATGACGTGCATTCCACTTGCACTCTATGTATATTCACTCGTATTTCGCAGCCATCGGGCTTTTCCACCACAATCATTACACTGGGGAGTAGGCAGGCGCGGATCCCATGTAGGGCGATGGGCCTGATGAGACCTGCGGCATCGGCATTGGCATGGCCGGGCCGCTGAAGTGGACCTCGGTGTGGGTCTGCGCATTGCCCTAGAATGCATGAGAGATATCAGCGGAGGCTTTCACATATTCCGAGGAATATACCAGGCTCCATTGCCGATCTCCTCGCCGACTTTGCTCAAGATTCGTGTTATGGGAAGAAGCTCGATGTTGGATTCCCATCGGGCCGACAGATGAACATTTCTTAAGAAGCCACAAATGTAAACAGAACTCACTCCTCCACCCACAAGGACTATTCTACGAAGGCAGCAACAGCGGAAGCAGCCATAGCAACAACAAAGGACGATGAGCACCGCTGAAATACTAGGGGTGTCCTGAGTATGTCTCTCGCGATAGTTGGCATCATCTCGATGTCTTAGTATTATAGTCATCATCATCATCATTATAACGGGGCTACGAAATCGTTTCCCCTTGGAGAGTATTCTGCTTAACTCTGTCCCTGAGTTGAGAATCGTATAGAAGGGATGAGCGGAGGAGCGCAGGGGCTCGGTGTGCGAGACTTACTAATCAGGATTGCCGAGGAGAAGTCGAAGTGGCTCATGTTGATGACCTTCAAATATGAGTATCCGTCAACTTTGAGCGGTTTCCTTATCGTGATTTTCGATACTTCCGCTCGGAGTGGGATTCGGAGAGGAATGAGAAACGAAGAACCTACCGTTCGCTGCCTTATTCAAACGTCGAATAAATGCCTCGAAACGCTCAAATCTTTTCTACATGGTGAGTGGATCGCGGCGAGGAGGCAGAGATCTCTGACGCGTCATTGTTTTCATTGGCGGTCGGATGCTCAACCGAGGAAACCCGACAGAAAAAGCACTCAATTCGAAAGTTGATGGAACGATTCGATTCTGCTTTGGAGATCTGGTTATATGCTAATTGTAGGCTGTACATCCAGTATCGAGGGAGAACACTGCGTCCGCTCCAGAGAAATGTATAGTGAATGTCCACGGAGCTGGTCGAAGTTGGCGTCGTCTTGTCGACGGGAGGCAGATGGATTTCGCGTGGAAGGCATGCATATCCATTAATCGAGTCCCTGCGATTCCGCGATTGAATGCCGCGGTCTCTCTCCACATCGGACTCCTAGAGATCTCTTGCTGATTCGACATAGCGGTTGATGAGTCGGTCGCCTCCTTAAGCCAAAACTTGCAAGGTCTTATCCTGGTGGAGTAGACCATAGACTATTGGCCATTCCTCACTTTCGAGCCTCTGAGGGCTATGGATACAGTCGAACCCGCTCATAAGAGACCTCTCCGGGAATCGAAAATGGTCTCTTATATCCGGTTTCTCTGATATCTCAGGTACTGTTTGACGATGAAAAACCAGAATCTTGCCCTCCTCGTTTGAATCGCCTGCCTATATCATGATTGTGTGGAGAGACTATAATTTTCAGAGCAAATTGTGGTCTATTACGGAAGTTCATCAGAAGCGTTTATCGCACTCCGTATCACAATGCATAGGGTGTATGATCTAATGAGCTCCTGCGAAGTATGATGGTATCGAACAGCGAATCGGCGCGAGTTGTCTCATTCGCGCGTCTTTCGAGGGAAAGAGAAGTCATGGAATAACAAACGGAAATTCTGCTTGAGAGGGTTCTCTCTTACATGCGAGGTCTCCGACATGGGACTCTATGAAGCCGAGGTTTCTGAACTGTCTCTTGTGCTCGGTTTCCTCTTATATCAGGGTTTCTAATAAGCGAGGTTTTCAACAACTAGCCCTGTGAGGAAACAAAAACGGGGGATCGGGATCGGTCTCTTATATCCGTTCTTCATTTTTGACTGGTTTCCTCATAAGCGGGTTCGACTGTAGCTGGATGTGAATTTTCCTGAGGCCAAAGTCGTAGATTGACGAGCTGCCGTGAATCTCGCTCACCGAAAGGGATCGTTCGGCGTCAAACGATAGCTCCACTCAGATTTGTTTGGGTTACGCTGTGAGAGTCTGGCATTTCGGCGATCGATGATGTTAGCGGCGAGCGGTTTTCGCCAAGCCAACTCCATATCCGAGGCGCTCCCTTGAGCCCGAAGGTTCTTTTCTGTCCCGGAATCCGAGCCAGGGTGACCTCTCTGGTATTTCTCCGGGTATACGAAGAAGGTCTTTGATCCCGAGTTCAGCATGAAGCCATGTGCACCTCATTCCGAGGTAGACAACACGAACACATTAGGAAAAGGGGAGAATTTATTTCGGTGTTCATTCGCTCGTCGCGGCTTAAGCGAAGCTGCCGTCGACCTTCAGGCCGTCTTCCAGGAGGCCTGCTGAGGCACGAACATGCTCACTCACGGAAAACTTCGTTCATCCATAAGATAACTTATAACTCCTGAACATTCCTCTCTCCATTATTGAGAAAAAATAACACACCCAACAGGGGTCGTGAATCATCCAAGACAACATGTTCTCGAGCCACGTTCCACAGCACGCGGATATGGCCCCTGTTCCTTCCTCTCGTGCCGAACTTCGCTTCCGGCATTCATATGAGTGCTCGATGGGGGACGTCCGTTTATAAACTCACGCAATCCGTGATTATTCCATTTGGCCAATCGCGAAGGGTCGGAGGTACAGGTTTCGAATGCGCCAAATGCCATTGTACGGATCCGGCATTCGTATCCCGAGGCTTTTTCCCCATATTCAGGTCTGAGAGGATCGGAAGCTACCTACTCCGATTGAGGGTCCGGGTCGGAGCTCCTCATCCTTGTAGAATGTCCACATTGGTCCCGTCTGATCGCGACAGCCTCCCGCTGCGAACCGGATCTTCCAGGTGAGGTCCCGAGCTTGTTTTACATTTTGCCTTCGGATACGCCATTCGGAGACTTCTGGAGAGCTGGTCGATAGCTCACGAGCCCATCCCCTCGAATTTGATTGAGATCACTAGACATTGCGCTGTGTTCAACATTGCGGTCGAAGAATCAATAATGGTTCCCGTGAGGAGTATCACCCACTGATTGTGAGTGTTAGGATCAGCAAGACATCAAAATTATTGCGACAATGATCAATTGCATAAGAGCCGAGGGTCGCCGCGACCACGTAGAATTACAAGCGTCTGTCATACAGCTGACCACGCAGCCTCGCACGTAGCGATCGTCGAAGTAGAAACTGCCGCAGTGAGACATGCGAACCAGCTCGGTGTCGACTGTCAACGTTCCGGAGTCGAGAGCGCAGGTCCGTACCACCATCGATTCACCGGAGTCTTCTGGAATAGACGATCGGGAAATCATGGCATTGACAGAACTGGATAATTATGTCAGCGGTTCTCTACCTTCTGGGCCTGACCTTGTGGGGGTCGGCTAGGCCGCTATTGTACTGACTCATCACTCATCCCTTCGAATAAAAACGACTCTTATTCGAAAAATGTAGCGGGGCAAAACTCAGCCTATGAAGAGGAACTCCCATTCCATGGCTCCATCCGACATGGGCGTGTGGCAGGAATAGAACGAAATTCGCAGTCGGTGGGAACCTCCGTGAAATTCCGCACCGCAGCAATATGAGACTGTTTGAGACCTTAGCCTGGGGCTTGCATCTCAGGAGCCTTTGATACGGATGCAGATCCGTCAGAAGAGGAGAGCGGTTGAGGATTATGAATGCCTCATGTATGGCGCCCTGCTTCGCTTACTCGAAGCCACCTCCAGGTAGTGGGGAGCGAAAATTTTCAAAAAGCATCCTCCCGACGTGAGATGAGCTGGAGAGACGGAATATCTCCCATCGGGACCAGCAAGATGCGGTACAGTGGCAAGAACGATCCTCGTCCACTTGGTCGGACTTACTCATTCCAATGATCTATTAGTGGGTGAGCGGAAACGTAATCACAACGACACAAGAGAAAGAAGACGGATCGTTCCATTCGCAAACGAGCGTAATGCGAGGGAGGATCATCTGAATTTTTCCGATGCTTCGAATGGAGCAGATTTCAAGTTGGAAAAATGCTTCCCCGATCGCAGACTCAGATTACTGTTACGGGAATCGGCCGTCTCGATGCTTCCTCTCTCGGGATTTTTCTCCCCGTCTTCTAATTGGCCCAATAGAAAAACCCGCAGCAAACGTCGATTACAGACTCCGCATTATCCTCGTCCGTCTCGGCCGCTGTCGAGCTTTGTTCTCCGGCAGGACAGCATCGCAACATCGTCTCATCCTATTTTTGGGCTTGTCGGGATGTATTGCTGTCTTTGACAAGGCAATTAGGGATTCCGATTCCCCCGACTCGGATCGGAACCGATAGACCTAAACAAACCGATTCTAGTCGACGGATCTTCAGATGCGATACCGACGACGCAGGAGGAGCTTCGGCTAAGATCCACTGCTCTCTTCTTCCGTTTGATTAGTCTGGGCTGTAGAGTCGGGAGATATACGATTGGAGGAGCAGAAAGGCATGCCGAGTCCAGATGATGATATTTCGACTCGGTCAATCGGAATCACGGTACTTACCGAACGTTCCCGTTATCTTGACGCAAGCGGTGGCTGGGAAGAGACCCTCACGACTTTTCCGGCCAGCGAGACACGGCTGGTGCAATAGTTCGGTCGTGTAGTTGTGATGAAACGGATCTTCACAAGCCGGGTTATCCCCGTTGTGCGAGACACACTTGAAGCAATCGATCGCTCCGGCGGACACCACGAATAAGGAACCTTGAGGAGGGATAATATTCTTTGTGAAATCTGCCAGTTCAGGGAGTGATTGGAGGTTCTGGCATTGACTGATAAACATGAATATTCAATTAGTACGACTCCCGGTTTCTCGTGCGCTCTGGATAACGCCTGAGGCATGTCGTCCGAGAGCTCTTTATTTCAACAACTTACACAGAACGATGGATACGGAGGGCCAGTCGAACTTCCCTGTCATTGCTGCCTCTGAAAATGTGAACAATCTCTTGTTACCTTATCGACATACCGTAAATATTCTAATTGAAGGGCATGCCCGTCTATTTTTCGACCCCTCCGAAACCTGCCCGTCTATTGGAGACTGCCCGTCTTTATCTTCTATCCCCCGACAAGAGAACAGGACCTTCAATTAGAATATTTACGGTATCTGGTTTTCGCTAATCTGGGTTCTCTCTTTGAGAAGTCGGATCTTGATTCCAAGACTCTTTCAGCATGCATTTAGCCTTCGGAGCACCGGAGACTCGCACACTATACACAGGAATAATTATGAATGCTCGCATGACTTATCGGGGTTCCCCAATTTCGTCAAGGAACATGTGCATCAAGTTACTTGCCAGATCGCAAAACGGGGATTCGACTTCACGAAATAAATCGTGCGATCGCGAGGGAGCGTAGAGTCTACTAGTGAACGGAGTAAATTGTTGGTCTCGGAGTTGATGGCGTGCGATCGCTACAACAATCACGGCTCTTGCCGCTCGAAGCTCTGATGAAAGTGCCCACCTCAACACGTACAGCTCTTTGCTCTATTTACGTTTTGGTCCCATCTGCATCAGCCCGATCGGGACAATTGTTTCCCCAACGGAAGTCAGGAAGCAACCCATCCCACAAATGTCAGGGTTTCCTCGATCGACGAGAAGTACGCCCTCCCGTTTCGGAGAATTTTCATTTTTAGCGCCTGCTTCGGATGCTCTCACAAAACGCTTGGATGCGACGCACAATGCGAGGCTTGGATTGTGCGTGACTACGCTGGCTCCCACATGGCCGGAGCGAATGAAAACGTAATTCGCCCTTCTCCTTTGATGGATATAAACAACGTTTCAACTGTAGCGTATAAAAGGAGAGCAGAGGGAACAGGCGTATTTCATCACCATACGCGCCACCGCAGTGAAAGTGTCTGCGTTCTGTTGACAAACTCGCTCTTGCTTCTGCACGGCTGACTTTGCGGTTGATTAGAGTCACTCTTTGTTCCCCATCTCCATCGCTTAGCTCGTTTCCCGCGTGGTTGCTTCCTGGCAGACGCCTCCCCGCTATGCAAATCGGGCGCGCAATACGGAGCGTCAACGAGAAGTCACTTTCCTAGGGAAGTCTTCCTCGGACCAAGAAGTCATCCGCGCTCTCTCCAAGGGTTCATCATCACTCAAAGACAGGCACTCCCACGTAGCCTAGTCGTTTTTGTGGCCTCCGGAAGTTTCTCCGAGTTTCGAGTTTACTTCCAATCGACATCGGCACGATTTCCTTGTCGAATTCCCCGAGGGCTCCGAAGAATTTCTTCGGGGAGAGGGGGGCGAGTCTACAGTCTAAACCACCAATGCAGGGGAGCTGACTTCACGGCAAACATTTTTTCTCGACCAGGATCTGTTCGATGAGGTGCCGTCCGAAGACAGGGAAAATCGGTGATGAAATTGCCGGGGAGTGCCTATTCTCCTCATCGCCGTGCTCCGACCGCGCACGTATGCAGAACGCGTCATCACAGAAGGCCGACAGAGCCTGGGGACGAGGACTGAGCCCTCGAAGGCGCGTACTCTGAGGTCTATCCGGGCTTACGTGTCAGTACGTATCAGGGGGCGTCGCTCCGTCACCTCTAAAGACTGCTTACCGTCCGCTCCTTTCCACCGACGTAGCGGCGGCGGTCGCTCTTTCAGTGAATATTGTGCGCGAAGTGTCGGCCCATTCACTTCATTTCCTGAGAATTCTCTGTAACCGATCCTGAGGAATCCACTCTCGAGCTGTGCTAAGGGTCATCCATTCTCTCGGGGTTTCTCACATGGTCCAAGCTCCATCGGGCGAGCGAGGCGAAATATTTCCAGGCAGCTGAGGGAGGAACAGCCGATTTCTCGCATTTTTCACGCTCAGCTGCCGTATCGACAACTGCTTTGGGACGAAAAGCTCCAGTCCGTTCGTGTAAGTCCTCTGCCTGGTCGTGTATCAATTAGTTGCGCGGAATCGGATTGCCGCCCACCCGTTGGAGCACAGAAAGGACAGAATCCCTTTCGTCTGGGGCACCACTACAGCTTCCTCCCGTCGACTGTTCCTGTTCACGCAGCTCTTTGTGGCGACGTCTTTCTCAACCCTGATTGGATTCAATGCAGATGACACGAAACACCTGCATTCGAGCTTGTGAGCCGGCCCTGAATGGGCGAGTTGCGTCGAAGCATCATCTTCGCGAGCCGAACGATCGCTCGACCGCCCGCCCGCGCAGCGTGCCTTTTTGCTTGAGGCGTCTCGCTCGCTGCGAACACTCGGTGGCTCTGAACAAACAATGCTAATATTTCCGATTGCTGAGTCATTATCCTTTTTCAGTGCTTCTCCGCACAAACGTGCCCGCGGAATTCAGGACGATAACGTTCGTCCTTTTCCTCCGCGCAAACTAAGGAATCTCTGCAGGAGTCGCCATGCGGAACTCTTGCGACAATATTCCTATTCGCTCGACTTGAATATTTGTTTGCTCGCCTCTCTCGCTCGCTGGCGTCTCCTCGAAGCAGTCGGAGACCTCTCCGTCTGCAAAGTGTCTCTGAGAAACCCGCCAGATAAAATGAAGGGCACCCTGATTCACGAAACAGTGTCGGCCCGATTGAAATAACGCTCCTTCACTCAAAGGGCAAAGTATGTAATTCTGAAGTGGTTTCGGGAGGAGGTGAGCGTCTCCGACAAGACTTGATCTTTCGCCTTGTGAGCAGAGCGAGTTAATTTGACTGAGTGCCGACGGACTTCTGGGTGGAGTCCGAACAGGAGCTTTCATTCGCACCGTTTTGTGTCGCCATCTCTTCGGCGACCGACGGCAGCCCTATTCTCGTTTTTCCTCGCCTGCGAAACCCTCCTCTTCTCGTCGCCCTTCCCGGTCCCTGTTACCTAGTTCGACTGAGCCACGCGTAGCCTGGCTCTATCGTTTCGGCGCCCTGCGCATCGAAACGGAGAAGAACTTTGGAGCCGTAAGCCCGAAAAAAAGCGATTTCTAAATTGATTGATCGCCGACCTACTGGAAGATTCTCCAATCAATAAATCCCATCTGTTTCGGCCGGCGCAGAAGTTCCCTGGAAAATTCTCCTTCTGGGGATCTACGCCGGGGTCGGCGAAACGGGGCTGGTGGACGTCCAGGATTGGCTCGGAGTAGGGCGATGGAAGAATGAGATTCAGACTTGGCAATCCGCACACCAGGCTCCTCGAACGAGGTACAAGCATCGGTTCCGAGGTTTTCAGCATTTAGATCCTCATACTTCGCTTTGAAAATGGGAAACTAGGTACGCCTCAAAATCGTTGCTTATGGGATCCTGAGCGAGCGGGCTCACGGAAAATCCCTGCGTCCGATTTCGCTCTCATCGATGATGCGGTATCCGCCGTAGGATCCTCGTCGTCGAGCATCGCTTCACGAAAAACATGCCCGTAAACAATTTCGATAACGGACAACCATTCGGTTGGAGCGGCCTGATGCCCACGCCCAGATGTATCCCATGCTATTCCCTTTCGGAACTGCGCGGGTTCCGTTCCCCTAGAACCCAGAATATCCCTGGCTGGATCACTCGCTCATGTCCGACCGGGCCTTGTTGTCCTGCTCGCGAAGCGGAAGATCTCCCCGGTTTGATTCGAACGAGACGGTAAGGGGTGAATGCGAGACACAAGGAGCTCGCAAACACTCGCGAATCCCGTGCCAGCTGGAGGCTTCCGACTGTCAGAGAAGTAGCAGAGATCCGTCCACGTTCAGACTCGCCGAGCGCGACGGACACTGCAGATCGCCCTTCACCACTGATGTGATTCGATGGCTCGACGCACTCATCTTGTCTCGCACTCCTTCGTAATCCTTTCTCTCGAACCTCGAATTCTGTCGCGACGCTGCGCGAGAAACCTCCGGTCTAGACCCCATGGTCCGAACTCAAGCCGAGAGTCCGGGTCTCGACTCGGTACCCTGGGCCTAAGTCGGATTTCGGGGTCATGACTAGACAGACATCGAGCGACTGTCATGATGAAAGAAGGATCGGAAGCGACACATCGCTTGCACATCGCGAGCTCCGAAAAAAGCTTGACATTTCCGTCGAGATGAGCTCCTTCGCTTGGTGGCTAAGAAAAGAGGCTGACGATTTCGCTCGTTCATTCGCGCGGAAGTCGCAGGTGGCTTCTGTGTGCATGTATAAGCGGCGAATATAACCAGGACAAGAGGGACAATTGACATGCTGAGAAACTGGCCACTTCAAGCTAACCTGCTCGTTTCCCTTGTTGACGTACGATCGCCCTGTGCGGCGCTCACGACACTGGTTTCCTCTGGGACGCGAACAAAAGCAACAATCTCTCCTGTTTCGAATCATCGACATTACAGAGAACGTTCTGTTTACACACGCCGAGCCAGTTCATGGCTTCAGGGAAGACTCTCCTAAAACAGGCGAAGGTTAGTTGGTTGGTGCTCTCTTTTCGATGACATAAACATTCCTGTCCCGCGTGTTCTAAGACTGATCTCACAAGACCCAGCTCTTCGAGGGAAAATGTTATTTTAGAAAAACATGCGTAGATGCTCGAAAATTCCCGAGAAGCTACGGAGCCCTACGCGGGACGTTCAGGAGTGTCTCGATCGAATACCAATGAAGTTTCAGGATAAGGTTTCGGTTTCCCGCCGGCGTGCCACCGGAAGCTTCATTCACGAGAAGCCAAATCAACGTATACGAACGAAGTCCTCGAGGAACTCCATTATGTAAACAAGGAGAGGCCGCCAGTGTCCACACTTGTGGATACCTCTGGGGAAAATGTCATATTTCCGCGCATCATCGGAGCAAATTTCCCCGGGGATATGAGCGTTGCGGCTCCAACGTCTCGGACGTTTCGAAACCGCTACTTTCTACAACCTTCTTTCTGTCGCTTCCGGCATCGAACAACTTCGGATCGAGACGAGAAAACTTCGGGGCTTCAGAAACCCGGTTCTCAGATTAAAGTAAATGAATCCCCGAGAATCGGAAAGCATCAGCGTATGTTATTATG